GGTGTGAACCTGATTGTTTTTGTATATACTCTGCTTCACTTTAACTTTGGTTTCTAGCTGTGAAATTGGAATATATGAATAATATATACCATTTGCCAAATGTTTCTGCCTTTTTTTTTTTTTTTTGGTGTTACTAGGGTTTGAACTAGGCAGGTGCTCCACCACTTGAGCCACTCCACCAGCTCTGAATTTTCATTTTTTTGCCTTCTGTCTCTGTCTCTCTCTCTCTCTCTCTCTCTCTCTCTCTCTCTCTCTTTCTTTCACACACACACACACACACACACACACGCACAGCATCCTCCATTCCAGGGCCTTGTGCATATTAAACACATGCTCCACCACTTTTAGCTCCACCCTCAGCAAACTTCTTGACATATTTTGAAAACTCCAGCATTAGCCAAGTATTTATTAAAAGCTTGCAATTAAAAAGAAAATTAAAAAATGTAAAAGCTATTTTCTTGTTACAGATTAAGAATAAACAGTTACAGCACAAAATATTTTTGATCTAGAAAAGTCACGGAAAACAGCTTAAAATAATGTTTCTTTGGTCTTGAGCATTTATAATCACTTCTGTGTTTTTCTTTTATGTGTTTATTTGTTGTTATCACATTTCAAGGAGAAAAGGCAAGAGCAAAATCATTTTTCTTCTGTTGGCCTTGCTAGGGAGTAAACCATGAGACAGTTTAAAGAAAGAGAAGCACTTTTATGTGTGTTTGTGAACATGTAATAAATGAGCTGACATGGTGGCTCTAAGTCCCAGCTATTCAGGAGGCTGAGGTGGAAGATGGATTGAGTCCAGGAGTTCTAGACCAGCCTGGGCAACATAGTAAGACCCTGTCTCTAAATAAATAAATAAATAATATTTTATAATTGCCAATGTCATTAGAGAAATTGGCTGGGAAAGCTTTTTGGAAAACAAATTATCCCAAAACTACAGAAACTTTGTTCTATAGCAAGGATCAGCAAACATTTTCTTAAAGGGCCAGACTGTTAAGTATCTTAGGCTTTGACCATGTGGCCTCTGTGGCAGCTACTCAGCTCTCTCCCAGCTACCCAATTCCAGCTAATGAATTCTGTTGTAGAGAGAGAGTAGATTAACCAGCTAAAGATATGAGTGAGCCTAGCTGTATTCTGATAAAGCTTAATTTTGTGGCTCTGCCTACCTATGTTCTGGCATCTCACAAAAATTACTCATAAATAGTCATGTACTTATGTAGTTCTCTGCCTCACCAAGAACCTCTTATTATTGGTAAGGATAATTTGTAAAACTCATAGAGGACAGAGAGCTTCCGGTTTCAAACGTTACAGTAGATCTATTCTGAACATTTTTAGGTGAAGTAATAAAAGGTTGGAATTTCCTTTAAGACACTTGAAGGGGAAACTGGGTAGGTGTAGAGGAACTGAGTTGGACAAAATGTTGCTAAATATTGAAGCAAGTGACAGTTACATGGGATTTTCTCACTCTTTGCTCTCTTCTATGTATGTTTGAAAAGTCAATGTTGAAAGTTACTATGTAACAGATAATGGTCTAGTAAAGGCATGGGTTTTTCCCTTCTCTTCTTACACCTTAAACTAGGAATGAGAGTAAGAAGCAGAAGTATAAGGTCCATCTCTGGCATCCCAGGCAGAGCTCTGCAATTCCAAAGCACAATATATAAAGGCTGCAGACCCAATAAAGACTCCAAGACATGACACCTATGGTTGCAGGCTGGGGGCCTGGTACAAAATGCCCCAAAGGAAGTGGATGGCCTCAGATTACTCCAGAGCAACATTCAACACTAACACTTTACCAAGTCCTCCAGGAAAGATTAATTTAGGAATTAACATGTCAAGCTTCAGGAAATTTAGTTCTCATGAGCCCTTCTACAGGAGAGGCTCAGCCAACCACGAAATGAAAGCAGAAACTACTGCTGAAGAATTGGCAGTAGGCATACAGCCCATTGATCTATAGAATATAGATAGAACAAGCATGAAAGTTAGGTTTACAGAGCAGAATGTGACAGTGTACTAATGATAGAAGTAATGAAAGTTATGAGAATGAGGGACAGAAATAGTATAAAGTCATGTTTTATATCCTGCTGTCAAAGACTGTCACTTAAAACAAACTCAGCAACTTAAGTGTTAGAGTGGAGAGAAGTGAATAGGAAGGTAGGTAGTTGATACTTAGATGCATAGATGAAGTGAAAAGCAAACTCTAAGAGAAATAATACGATAAACTAAACTTGAAGGTAGATGGGAAGAAAAAAAAGCATAACCAGGCCACATGCAGTGGCTCATACCTGTAATGCCAACTACTACTGGGGAAGCTTCCTGAGTGCTGGGATCATAGATGTGTACCACCATGCCTGGCTTTAGTAAACTACTTTAAAGAAGAAAGCAGAAATAAAGACAACATGTAAATTTTCATAATAGAAAAATGATTAAATATGTATGTAATGTAAAGGTAAATAAGGGAGGCTAAATTTTCCTATTAAAAGATTCCCCAATTAGATCACAAGGAGAATGAACTACTGAGACATTCCTAAAAGAAATGCAGAAAGGATAATCAAATGAATGGACTGTCAGAGATGTAACAGTAAACTAAAAAATACAGACATTGTGATCTTAATATTGTGCAAGACAGTACAAAAAGCACTACACAAAGAAAGAGGATACTAGATTTGTATGAAGAAATCTTTTTTTTATTATCACATTATTGTTGTATTGGGGGTACATTGTGACATTTGCAAAAGTTTTTACAATATATTACAGTTGAATTCACCCCCTCCATTATTCTCCTTTATGCCCCCTCTTCCCATTCCTTGAATAGTTTCAACAGGTCTCATTTTGCCATTTTCATACATGAGTACATAATATTGAAGAAATCTTTAAAATGCTTCTCAAGGATACAAATAGAGATGTAAAGGGAAAAGCTTACAAGGTTCTTTGGTTAAAAAGACTCCAAGTCATAAAGATGTTAGATTCCTTTATGTTAACTCATGGAGTTAGTATGATCTTAAAACACTGGTTAAAGTTTATTGTAGTGCTTTCTGTTTATCAGGCATATTACTCAGTCCTTATAAAGACTTTCTGTGGGAGGTTTTAGCAGTACTCTTGATCCAGTTTTCAGTATAGAAACCAAGGCACAAAGAGGCTAACAAACTTTCCTAAGGTTGCAGTCAGAGTAACTGACTAAACTACAACCTGAACTGGAGCAGGATGATTCCAGATTATATAAGTGCCTTTGACCTCTAAACTGTACTGTTTTTTGAAACTAATAGAATTGTGTGTATGCATGTGTGTAACTAGATGAACTGACTCTAAAGATTGTATGGATGTTGCCATGGTGGTGTACTGGTAGGGCAGGAAGATTGGTTAGTTGGAGACCAGCCCAGGCAGAGTAGGCAAATCCTATCTCAGAAACAAAACACATACAAAAGGGACTGGGGCATGGCTCAAGTGGTAGAGAACTTGCCAATATGCATGAGTCCCTGGGTTCAATCCCTAGTACTCAGATGATGAATGGATGTGGAGAAATGAATCAGCAGGAATAGTCAGGAAAATTCTTAAAGAAAAGTATGAGAGAAAAGTAGCCCTACCCAAAATTTAAACATGGTACAAAACTAGAATGTTGAAACCATGTGGTTACTAGGGCATGAGCAGATACATTGTTAGACAGAAGATCAGAAATAGATCCAAATTCATCTGAGTAGGTATTTGGAAAATTATAAAGCTAGCATATCAAATAAATGAGGAAAAGTTTAATTATTCACTGTGGTATTAGAGGGAAATTAGTTATGTTTCTACTTCTTACATTGAACTAAAATTAACTCCTAATAAATCAAAGATATAAACCTGAAAAACTAAACTAGCTACAACCTTGTCTCAAGAAATTTTAAATAATTTATATTTTTTATATGTCAGTTTCAGACTGGAGGTGTGTCTTAAGTGGTAAAACACCTACCTAGTAAGTACAAAACCCTGAGTTAAAAATCCCAGTACCGCCAGATAGATAGATTGATAGCTAGATAGATAGCTAGATAGCTAGATAGATGTCAGTGTCAGTCTCACATTTCTGTATACTCAGTTGGAAGGAGGTGGGAATTAATATTTACATAAATGAAGTAAATCTGCCATGTGCTGTAGTTGTGTTAAGATACATGTTGTCATAGTCAGTCCTAAATGATTTTTCTTTGTGTTGAAGATAACAGACTCTAAGAACAAAACATTGGTTTTTAGTCACTTAATGTCTTCCTTTCTTCCTTTTTTGATACTTTTTGGACCTGGAAAGGGAAAAGGTACAAAAAAAAAATTTAAACATTGGCAAGTTATAAATGTCTTTAGTATTATTTCTGAAATTTACTTTAGTTATGAGTACCTAAATTGAGTATGGATTTTCTTCTGACATTCTGAAGCACATAGTGATTAAGGACTCAAGGACTGAGGGTGCCTATCCAAATTTTTAAAAAGGAGAGTGAAAGACCCAAATAATGGTAAATTTATGTTATATCTACTTAGTATCTGTCTAAAAAACAAGGGGCAAATGCAGATCTAAAAGCTAACAGGGGGACTGGAGGCATGGCTCAAGTGGTAGAGCCCTTGCCTAGCAAGTATGAGTTCAAACCCTGATATCACCAAAAGTGAATAAATGAGTAAAAGCTAACAGGAGGAAGAGGAAGCATGAAAATTTAGTTTAGATTTGATAGCTCTTCAAATCAGTATTAATTAAAAGTAGGTAGGAAATGGTTTGTCAGGTATAATTCAAATTTTGTTTAATATGTGTGTTTATGTGTATGTACATGTGTTCATTTATAATATTGAAACACACCAAAATATTCACTGTTGATATGTTAAGATGTTTTGAGTTTGAAAGACTTTTGTTTCCTTTTTTTCTCTATTTTTAAACTTTTCTATAAAGAATACATACTACTTACATACTTAAAAGCTATTTTTATTTTCCCCAAACGTGTGTAACATTTGTTGTTCTTTCTTGACAGTAGATATGTCTGTTATTTTTATAGATGCACCAAAGGCTCTCTTCCTGGCAGAACTTGGGAGTTGTTTACTGCAGTACTGTTGTGCCCTCTGATGGTGAGTTTTGGCAAATCCATTTTGTTTTAATGTCTCATTTTTTGTTTCCCTCCTTATGCTCAGTGCTTCCTATTCTTACTGTTTCACTTAAGGAGGTCTTGGGGGTCAAAGAGAGAAGGGAGAGTTAAGGGGCAATAAAATTTGGATGAGGATCTAGTGAGTTTTGAGGAGAAGGAAAACCAATAATCCATCAAATCATCATAAGTTATGGAATGTTCATTTATGTTTTGAAAACTGAGGTCATATTTAATGTGAAGATCACAGAAGTGCCATATTTGGTATTCTTTTGGGTTTCACACCATGGATAATGATCAAACACTCTAGCTCCTCGTGGCATCAGGGCCTAGACAGAGGCAATTGAAAGTCTGAGACCCTCTATTCTTGCTATCTTTTCTCTTCCCTTAGGTTAGGGCTACAATTACTTTCTTGACATGGGGAGAGGGGGTCAACAGATGCTTGGGGATCACATGTGATCCCTTGTTGATATCCACAATGCTATAAGCTGGCAATGGGGTCTAAGCTTTGGTTGTTTGTATAGTAGTGGAGTGAGACATGTTTCTAACTTTTATTATCATTTCTCTTACCTGGTATTGTACAGTTATAATTCCTTTTGCTTGGCTTAGGGTTTTACTGTAAAATGATTCTTCTGTGTAAAATCTAGTTTCATAGAGCTCTAAGTTCAACTTTATAAACATTAATTCATAGATAGCAAGCATTGAAAGAGTATCCTGCAAATTTACAAGGTCACCTAAAGCTGAAGAATCATAAAACTCTTAGAATCCTCTGTATTTAGTCAGTATATATCTTGAAGTGTTATCAGAATCCCCTTCCCGAAAGCTGTTGCGTTATCTAAATTTATAAGCAATATGCTCATATCTGCTAAGTTCTCTAAACTTAGAGGAAATACCCTTTTATGCTTACTTATTTGTAGTATGGAAAGGTTTAAAGGAAAAATGGACCAGAACCAAAACGAAGCTTTATTTTTCCTATGTCTTAAAGATATAAAAAAGCTGATAAAGAAAAACCAATTAATATATAAGTTAAAAACCAGCATTCCACTTTGTTGCAGTCAGAGAACAAAGAGGTGTATTGCCCCCTAGTGAAGACTCAGTACCAGTATATACTTAGATACCAGAATTTCTCACAAGGCTGAGAGTCAGAGGACCATAATGTCACCTACTTCTTCACTCCTTAAGCCCCCCAGAGCAGTGGGTGGGTATTTCTCTTCCCCCAACACTGTCTTGGTATACTGCACAGCCAAACAGAGGCTGTCCACATCTATGCCTGTACCACTCCCAGATCCCATTACCTTCCTCTATTACTGTTGCATCATTAGATAGTTTCAAGAGAGAGTTTCTCTCAATGTAAAAATAATTATTTATAGTGCTGAATCCTCTCGGTTTTTGCTGAACTAACAGAATTTTATTTTAAAATATTCTCTAAAATCATTATATATTCAATGTTAGCATATATCAGTATATATTCAGTAGTTACATTTAATAATCAACCTGATCACATTACATCAGGAAGCTCAAGTACCATTGGTTATTATGAAATTCAGTGGCAGTAATTTAATTTGAGCTAATGAATTTACGTTGGAATTTATGTTTATCTTACCACTTAATTGCATTTGCTATGATCCTTTACCAATCCTATATACCAATCCATATGGAAGTAGTTCAATAATTTAATGATGGTATAGTTGTAGTGGAGTATGGCTGAATATTTTCCCAGGGCATAAATTCTAGTAGGTTACTCCTATACTGCATGAGAAGTTGAAAGCAGTATTTTTGCAAAAACTAAACTTCCTTCTGTCCTTCCTCCCTCCTTCCCTTCCTTCCATAGCAACTTTTTAAAAAAAACGACTCCCAAAATATCTATCAATATTTGCCGTTCTTAAGAAAACCAGCTCATATTAGCTAAAAAGAAATAAAAGCACAAAATTGTTCAATGCAGCTCAATATCCATACTACCTTCTACCTTTACATCGTTTCTGAATATGTACTTCTAAATTAATTTTACCTTAGGTCAGTATATCATGAGAAACTCTACATGATATACAGGCACTCTAGTAAATAGAATTTAGTCAGCGTCAACAGGCATTTCTATCATCATACACTGTTCTTTGTCATTGCTGCTGGGTAATATTCAGCATCCCATGATGCTTGACTACTTTTTTAAAAAAGTTACAAAGTTTAAAATGCAACATTATTTAATTGTGATACTTATATACCTAGTATATTATTACACTGCCTCTCATTGATTGCTTGTTAAGTATCATTTGACAAATCTAGTTGTATTATAGTAACTGATATAAAACATATACATTATCTTAAATGTTTAAACTCCCTACCAAAGTAATCTTACAGGTTCTTCATTTTTCTTGTGTCATAAATACCCTGAGGCTCTAGTAAAAGCTCTAGACTCTTTCTCTAGACAAATTTATATATATATATATATATATACACACACACACACACACACACACACACATAGGAAATTTTACATATAATTTTATAGTGAAATAGACTCCCTGAAACCAAATCATGAACTCTCTAGTCTCACACACCCAACTTGAGAACCATTTTGGAGTCTTGGAACCCAAGTGTAAATGTATATACCACTACTCATAACCATGTTTCTTTTAATGAAAGATGCTATGTTAAGAGTACAAGCTAGGCTTGCATCCCAGTTCCATCATGTTATCAATCACCTTGGAACCACAGCAAGGAATTACTTAAAAACTGTTTCCTCACCTGTGGAAATGAGATAGTAATAGCACCTCTAAGAGAAAAATGTACTTACCCTATGGAAATAGTAGAGTGGTTATGGTGGTAGTAAGGACTCCTAATCTAAAACACATGCTCTTCAGCTTCTCATGTTGATTTCTCTCTGCCCCAGAACCTCAAATGTAAATGTCTGAATAGTGAAATTTTTATTGCGTATGGTTTATGGTATGCGGTTAGGGTTCATACACCATAGTTATGTACGATGTATGCCTTCAGGAGTTCCCCTTCATGTTAATGAAAGGATGAGACTAATTCCGCTATTGATAGAATTGCCTTACAGTTTATCATCCAATGCAGGACACTTTTAAGAGTGAAAGGGTAAGAGTGAAAGGGAGTGCTATTAAAAATTGTCAGGGACTTGGGGCATGGCTCAAGTAGTAGAGCAATTGCCCAGCAAGCACAAGGCCCTGAGTTCAAAGCCTAATACCCATAAAAAAATCATACTTAAAAAAAATTGTTAGGACAACAATTGACATAAACCAAGACTAATCTTCACTCTTGCTCTGGGGAAAGTGTGAAAGATGATCTAGAAAAGGAGCAAGGGAAATAGCCTTATGTAGCTGCCTTCAGTTCCTTTCCAGAAATGTAATCCTGCTCTATTAGTCCTATATACTAAGAATTGCGATAGAGACTTGTGTTTGTTTTGCACTTAACAAAAGATACAAGGTATCCATAGGGATATTATAGCATAATATTATAGTTAATGTAATATAACTTATATCCTTATATTTTCCTTATGGAATTGTTTGAGGGCAAATAATTTTAGTAATGAAAGTAACCGAAAATTCCCATTTAGTGATAAACAATCATCTGTTTAGTCAACCCAAGAATAGATAATTTATATATAAATTCTTAGCCCAGGGTCTGTGAATGGTGTAAAGAAATAGACATATGTCCCAGTTTTTTCTTTGGTTTCTTTCCTGTTGTTTTCTTTTCTTTTCAAACTTTATTTATATTTTACATAACCTAAAATTCACTCATCATTGTACAGCCATCATGGCAATACAGCTTTAGAACATTTCCTTTGCTCTTAAAAGTTCCCTCTAAAACAGCAGGGGTGCCCTCGGCCTCCCTAGTGAAACCATTTCCAAAACTGAGACATAGATGGGCTTAACACAATATGTAGTCTTCTACCTCAAGCTTCTTTTCCATAGCATAATACTTGTAAGGTTTATCCATGTTGTAGCACATATTTCTTTCTTTTTTATTGCTCAGTAGTATTCCAGTGTATAGAAATATCATATTTTGTTTGTTCATTCACCAAAAAGGAGGGACATTTGGATTCTTTTCCATTTTGAGCCATTAAAAATAATGCTACTGCCAACATTTGCTCATCAGTCTTTGTATGAACATGGTTTCATTCCTCTTTGATAGATATAGGACTGAAACAGTGTATTACATTGTAAGTATATTCTTAACTTTTTGAGAAAGTGCAAAGCTGTTTTCCAATGTGGAGTATTACTTTGTATTCTGACCAGTGGTGCATAAGTATTCCTGTTTCCTAACATTGTCCCAACATTCAGCGTGATCAATAATCTTGACTATAAGCACTTTAGTAGATATATAGTATTATTTCATTGTTGTTTAAATTTGTATTTTACTGATGACTAATGGTATTGAGCATCTTTTCATGTGCTTAGTAACCAGATTTTTTTCTTTGAAGTGTTTGTTCAAATTTTTTGTCCATTTAAAAAATTGACTGGGCACAGTGGCTTGTATCTGTAATCCTAGCTACTCAGGAGGCAGAGATGCAAGAATGTGGTTCAAGGTCAGCCTGGGCACAAAGTTGACAAGACCCCATCTCAACCAGTAAAGCTTGATGGGCTGACAGGTGCCCGCCACCGCACCCAAAACTGGGTACAGAGGCACACATCACAGCTATGCAGGTGGCATAAATAAGAGGATCATAATCCAGGCTGGCTTAGGCAAAAACTGGAGACCCTATTAGAAAAATAACTAAAGCAAAAAGGACTGGGGGTATGTATGGTTCAAGTTGCAGAGTGCTTGCCTAGCAAGCACAAGACCCTGAATTCAAACCCCATTACCAAAAAAAAAAAAAAATTACATGAATTGACAGGAATCCTTGCAGTTGGGAGGCAGAGTCAGAAGGATTGTGAATTTGAGGCCAGCCTGGGTAACATAGTGAGACCCTATCTCAAACAAATAAACAAAAAAGGAGTTGTGGGGGTGAGTTTAGCTTAGTGGTAGAGC